TGTCTGGGGCCATAAGATGGCTTCTGCAAATAGTCCCATTCAAAAAGCCCTTTAATAAAAAAATATTTTTGAAATTTCTCTTTTTAGCAATTCTTCCTAAATATGTATCAAATATTGTATTTTAAATAAAAATATTAAAGTTTAATGGAAATGAAATATTTGTATGAGCAAAATTGAATTGAATCAATTATATAATATTAATAAAAATGAGTTTTATTCGAGTAAAATGCTATAAGGAATAACATTAATTTATTGAATAAGTCTGCTTGAATAAATAATGCCAAGCTAATAGAATTTATTGTCAATAATGTCTTTAAGATGGAGATCATGTTGCTCATCCAAAAGATTAAAAAAATTTATTTGATTAAAAGATTTTTCAAAATATTGACTAAAAAAGTGAAAGCTAATCTCAAGATTATGTTTAATGATGGAAAAGATTAAAGAATTAATGTGTTAATTAAATTAAGAATTAAGAACAAAATATCATTTTTCTTAAGAGAAGTTGTAATAATTAAATGTAAAACAAAACAATTGAATTAAGCTTTAGATTAGATAATTCAATATATTGAAATTAAAATAGATTTAATGAATCAACTAGAAGTATATTCACATAAGTGATCAAATAAATTAAAATATAAATTAATCAATTGAAATTACGCTTAGATTAACTTATATATTTAATTAACTTACTTAAGCCATAAATCAATAAGAAAAAGTAAAAGAATTACGTTAAAAAAGTATTCATATCATTAATTTAGCATTCAAGTTATTCTTAATAATCAATTTAAATCATTCATATATGATGATGAGGATAAATTAGAAGAGGCAATCAAAGTCTTAGATGCTGCATTACTAAATGATCAAAATCATTTTGATTCATTATATTTAAAAGGTATTAAAACTATAAGTACATGCGTTCGCTCGATGTTTAATGTAATTATTAAGATAATTTTTAAATATATATTGTGTAAATAAGTACAAAAATGCAATTATATGGCTGATAAAGCTTTTTCGATTTATTCAAATGATTTCGATTCATTAACAATAAAAGGTATTTAAGCTATATGTAAATGATTTAGCTAAGTGTTTAAAATGGCTACATAATTACAAAGATGCAATTATATGGGCTGACAAAGCATTGTCAATTGATTCAAACCATGTCTATTCATTACAAACAAAATGTATTTCAACATTTCCAAAATAAGTGAATCATTATATTCAATTAATATTATTCAAAACTACAGGGATTGATTGAATATGAAGAAGCTCCTAAAATTATTGTCTAAGCATTGAATTGTGATCCAGCTAGATATTATACTTTATACTTAAAAGGTTAATTAAATTTCTATTTTGTTTTGAGAGAATGCTTAAACTCATGTCTTTATTTAATTCAGTACAATCTCCATAAAAATATGAAAAAGCAATTTAGTATTATGATAAGGCGCTTTAAATTGATTCAAATTGCAAATTATCTAAAGATTAAAAGAGTATATATATTAATTGATTAAATCTAGCTAAATGTTAGAAAAAATTCATAATTATAAATAAATCAAATTATTGTTGGATAATATATAAAATCAAATCAAAAAATCTCAATTTCCCAATCTAAATATAAATATGTCTAAAATTATATGGTGCTTATATTCCATTTATTTTCAAATTTCTAGATTTTTTAGCAATTTTATAAATATCAATTTCAAATATCAGTAAGAATAGTATTTAGAAACATGAATCAAATATGAAATGAAAATAATTGCTTTATCATAAAAACATACCATATCAAAAATACTATAATTTTTAATGTACTCTTTTTATTTTATGAAATTAAGATTACTTAGATGAATAAAATAATACTTTCTCAGTTATTTTTATTGTTACTATAATATCATTAAAGAAGTTTCTGTTTCACAGATTTTCTTTCCTCATTCTTCTCTTAAATAATATCTATTACAAATTTTATTCGATATTATTTTTTGAGTTAATTGCCAGCACATTTAACTGAACAAATAAAGCTTGATAGTATGAGTAATCTTTTCAATCTTAAAAGATATGTAGCAATAATATATAGTTCTTAAGGTAATTCTTCATTCAAAAATATCTATTCATTGAATACAAAGTCTTTATATTGAATTTCTGTTCATAAAATAAAGGTTTATAAAATTCCATTTAACTAGTTAGTATTCTACTCTTTAACTATTTTTTTTAATTATTCTTGATTTAGTTAACCTCAGCATAGTTTTTGATAAATCTTCTCATTATGTTTTTAATTACAAGTTCCTAAAACACCTAATTAAGTTATGTTTTCTATTCTTTTTCTCTATCTAACAAGTTCAACTTTTTATCTTCAAGAAGTTTTTGAGCCTTAGTAATGCAACTTAAACTGTTTAAACTACCTTTTCTTAAAGATGGTAGGTATGGATTATAACCAATATCCTGCAATAAATCTTATTTCTTATATATTTCATTTTATTTTTTATAATTTCCGATTATCTATTTCCAACTCATCCGAATAGGATGAATTAGGTCAAACTAAAAGTGTCATTGAATCTCAAGGAAATTATTAGCAAGGCGAAATATTATATATTTTGATGTTTCATATCCTCAGCTGCTGATAACATTTAACTTAAAAATCTCTAATCTAAGTTTTGATATCTGTCAACTAAAATACAGAAGAAATTAATCTATCTCCAGTATGGAACATCACTCTTAAATTCATTGAAATTAATGTAAGAAAACCCTTCCAATTCCAATAAAAATGAAATAAAATTCTCTGGCTAGTCTTGTCTAATTTATGATTTCTTTACAAAATAAACTTGCCAATCAGAGTCAAATAAAACAGTCACATTGTTATTTTTTTAAAGATAAACATTTGTTGACTCTTAAAAGGATATTGTTTTTTTTGAGTGATTTTACATTTCGCCTCATTTCATTATAGTATTTGACAACTTATTACAAATCTATAAAATAAATAAACTTACAGTCGCACATTGATCGTGAGCAATGAAATGTACTACAAGCAAATCTGGTCGAGTTACCCTTGAGACATGCTCCTCATATCAATCTATTTATGTTTGTAAAACTGCTAATCCAAATGAAAATCTAGAAGATGTAAATGGACGATTAAATAGTAGTTCAATAAATTATATTACAAAAGCTGTTTTTCTATTTGAACCTTTTCTTCTAGTTTCTTCAATCTGTCGATATATTGAAACTATACTAAATCCGCTTCACTCTTTATTATTTTCTCTCTTTTCCTAGAACAGAAGTTATATCTAGCAGATGGAACAGTTAGGGGCATTTATGTGAACATTTTCAATGATGGGTATTGGAGATCAAATTGACTATAAGCTATCCATCCAGAGGGTGGTTCATACTCTAATGTTAGATATTTAGCATCACCACATCCTTGCTTAGATTAAAAGATATAGAAATGATGGAAGTGGAAAAGATGGATATGGTAGGAATGAGATCGACTAATTAAAATTATGATGAGGGAGGATTTTAGTCTCAATAGGAAGGAAAATGAATTTCATGTCTAATTTAGAGGTTACGATACTAAAATAAGTTGTAATACTCTTGATAGTTCTCCTATGTTATAATCATTTTCAAAGTCATAATCAATAACAAAAGACTTCAGTAAAGGATTGCTTTTAATCAATTAGAAAATTAACTAGTTTGTATTATGCTATTTATGATACAATTTAGTGATAAAGGTGATGTCTAAGAGGAAGTAAATAGAAAGAAATTAACATAAAACTAAAATTTCTTCGTTGCTAAATCTAGACTAAGAAGGATGAAAATGAAGTAAATTACTTTGAAAAAGAAAAATAAATTAAAGAGAAATATTAAAATAAGTATAGACAAAAAGAAATGAGTAGAAACTAAGGAGTCAAAATTTACTAAAGAAGTTAAAGAAGAAGATGAGCCACCAAGAAGAGAAATAGAAATAGAATATGAAAGTAATAGAAATCAAAATAAAACTGTTGGAGTAGATAATAAATAGAACAAACAAAGAGCTACAAATATCAATTAACAAATTACGAATCGACATATAAGGATCCAGTTGAATTTTAAAATGAAAACAAAATTTATTAAGATATAGTCAGTGAATAATTTCACCTAAAATTAAAGAAATAGTAATTACAAGAAATGTAATTAAATAAAACTAAAATGTGACAAAAATAAAGTTTAATAATATAAATAAAATGTCCTTTTTTTAGAAACCTTAAAAGCCATTAATCATAAGTATATCCTTCCTTCATAAAATTTAGAATCATATGGAAAAATGGGTTTTGTCTTTTTTCTTTTTTTTTTCTTTATTTTCTTAATAGAATCTTAAGTTAATTTTCTGTCTAATAGAGAATTCTTTTTGGAATGGTTGAAATTTAAAAAATGAAAGATACTCTGGTTGAACCAAGCACCAGGAGCTAATAACATTAAATGTAGTTTAGGTCACGCTAAAATTGTGTGAAATCTGAAAGGGTGTAGGCAGAAGATCTTAAAATATAGAAAACGTGTATCTTAATAATATTGTTAAACTATCAAATATTAAATCAGTTTAGAATTTAAGTTATTTATCGATTCCTTTATTTTTGAGTGTAATTATCAGGATGTAAAAAATGAAAAAACTTAATTCAAAAATAGTATATAAAATTATATGACTTTTGTCTATCAAAATTAAATAAAATAAACTTTGTTTAGTCTTAATAATAGTTTAAATTAAATCTTGAAAATTAAACAATTTTCCTTTCAACTTTATGGCTCCTTTTGTATGAAACTTTTTTTGATTAGGAAACATTATAATTCTATAGATAAATCATATCAAATAAATAGCATCTTAAAAAAATTTGATTCATTAATTTCTGAAGAGAAATTACTGTTATCGAAGTCCTAGTTAGGGATGAAATTAATCAGACGTTGATACTGAGTTTGTA